TCCAACCTGGTTTTTTTGTTTTAAATTAAAAAAATATACATTGCAGTGTCAGGATTGTAATGTAAATCGCTCTCACCCAGCAGAATGTGATGTAAACAGCAAAAATATTTGCGGGGGGGTGTTGGCTCTTAGCCATTTCTACCTTATCCAGGTCTTATTTGGGGAACCGAAGCCGTGGGCGGGAGACATGGGCAGCCCCAACAAGAGAAACAGAGAGGGGAGGATGGATCTATCGTCCCGCTCTGAAGTGGCTTGGGGGGGAAAGTGATTGTCCCAAGTCTTTGGCTCCTTTAGAAGCAACTTGGGATGGTCTCCTAGCCAAAGGATAGAGAGGAGGGGTGGGGTGGGGGGGGTTTCCTGGTTTGGTCCTTCACTCCCCCGCCCTGGTGCTTCTGACAGCAAGACAAAGATAAATGCCCCACCCCACCCCTCTTTCCCCCCAGTCCCTTCTGGGCCTGGGAGTTATCACAGCTTGGTTCACACAACTCATTAGTGTCTTCAACCCATTCACAGAATGAAACGGCCATTCCGCCCAAGAGCTGTCGCTCCGAGGCTCGGCCAAAGGAGTCCACGAGAGGCCACTTGGTGGTCATCGCGACTGCACCCCCAGAGTCATCTTCAAGTTCTCGTAGACCACGTAGCTGATGCTCACGGCAGGGATCACCTTCATGAAATTGGGGGCCAGGCCCCGGTAGAGCCCAAAGGCGCCTTCGGTCTTCAGGATGTGTTTGAAGAGGCTCCTCATGGTGACTTCCGGGGCACCTTCGATGGAGGCTGAAAGGGAAGACAGGAGACGGTCAACGGGGTTGAGATCCTGGGTTGATCTGAGGATTCTGAGTTGGACTAGGAGAAAGTCCTCCAACCTGACCTATGATTCTATTCTCCATAGCTCCTATGGGTACCAACAACGAGTACAGCATATGGAGGGAAATGCAAACTTGAACTAAGGGACCATTTCCTGATTGCGACAGGTAAGAAGTCATGGTCCATTGGTCCAGTCTATTCCTGAACACCGATTTGTCTGGGATGGTCTAAGGCAGGGGTCGGCAACCTTAAACACTCAAAGAGCCACAAAAGTCCTCACCGGAAGCC